AGTAGTGCTATATGACCTTCACGTAGGACATGTTATGACCTTTTTACAAAGGGTTTCGAAAACTTATCTAGAGGTATTTATTTAAAAGCTTTATGCACACAAACAATGGGTGGACTTAATGCCGCAGGCATTTTCTATCAGTCTGACCCTTGGGTGATGCAGAGAAAGTAATCAGCGGGTGCAAGAACATGTGTTGATAAATTCTCGTGTCATATTAATAATTTCTCCAGTTTCATATGAGTTAGTAACACTTCCATAACTCATAGAGGCTCTTAAAAGACTGCCTCGTTGGCCGAGTGGTCGCAAGTGTCACTGCCGGCAAGGGGTCTCATGTATCGCGGGTTCAATTCCCGAGTCGGGCAAAGTACCTATTACTGGGTGTTAAAAAAAATCGTAGTAGTAGCACGGAGTTAATAATAATAGGGGGTGAGCCTATTGCTATGTACCGGGCACAATTCCAGGCTATTTGTTTACTTTTAACATAATATCATTTAACACCATGCATTGTCCATGCAGTCCCATTGTTTTAACAATCCATTATTGCTATCTCATTATACCTAGGACTTTGTACCATCTTTATAATCAGTAAAGGGGTAACATTAGCTACTAATGACCAACACTTTGAATTTAATAGAAAACAAATATCGTTGCTTGGATGCTTAGCTAATTACCACTATTTATTGATAACTATATTTATTTTGCACACATACATACAATATCATTAATTATTATAGATAGATTAAGTCGTCCCTGGTCGGTTCCAGAGAAGGGCAAAGTGCAAACAACATTAATGTTAGCATGGTGTTAGTGTGGGAGAGTCATGCTCCGACACGAATGGGCCGGCTCGACCGGAGTGATACCACGGCCTCACAGAAAACCGACGTGAAACAACGCTTGTGTTGTGTTTCGTCGTGTGAGTGAGGTTACCGGAGGCCCAATTATCCTTCTTCCCCAGTCTCCCCAATCTCTGAATGCCCCACAATCCTCAAATTCCTAATTTCCAAAACGCCCGTAACGCACAAGGCGTTACAACACCTCTGGTGTCCATGGTCGGCGCCGATTAGTTACCATCATGTGATCTGTCTGCTCGTTTACTGGCTTCATCAATACATAGTATAAAACAAAGTCGCTTTCGCTGTATGTCCGTATGTATGCTTAGATCTTTAAAACTACGCAACGGATTTTGATGCGGTTTTTTTTAATAGATAGAGTGATTCTTAAGGAAGGTTTGTATGTATAATACATGCATATTGCACCCGTGCGAAGCCGGGGCGGGTCACTAAAATCCTATAAAAAAACTGAAATTGTACCTAGTGTATGTTAATAGACTCATGCATAACTGCTGAAAAGTTTCTCTGTCACCTCTGCCTACCTCTATCGGAATTACGTTATGCTAAGTCCATTTTATATATTTTGCACGATTTTCTTGTTGTGTTGTTTTCTTTTTAAATTATTGTGCACTCACTACGCTTTACCGAATTCATTTAAAAAAAATCCATCCAAAGGTTGTCTGGAACAAATCGCCGCATGTAGTAAGACCGCTTTGTACTTGAATTATTTATTTATTATTAATTTGTGTACAAACATTCAACACAGAGGACAATAAATATATAAAAACAGAGTACATAGGCCCCACATATTCCAACTGGAATTTCTTCCTGTGGGCCTGTGTACACTTATGTAATAGAATTATTATAGATCTCAATTTTTCAAACTCAAAAGTTATAAAAGTTCGACCGCGCGCTACTTATTGTAAATTATCTGCAAGTAAATTGATTTAGTTATTTAAACTATAATTTGTAGTTGTCCAAACTATTGGAGCATACAAAAAAGATCACAAGTTCCAATTAAAAGTTACATAACATAAGATAACATCACGCCTTTTATCCCCAAAGGGGTAGGCAGAGGTGCACATTATGCCACTGTACAATATAACACCCACTTTTCACTATTTATGCTATGAGTCCCATGTAATAGGGGGTGAGCCTATTGCCATATACCGGGCACAGTTCCAGACTCCGTGCTACTACTGAGAATTTATTAAAAACCCAGTAATACTTTGCCCGACCCCGGGAATCGAATCCGCGACCCCTTGCCCGGCAGTCGCACTTACGACCACTCGGTCAACGAGGCAGTGACTCGATTCAAAGTTACTTACGCATATTTAGGCTATGCAATGACTCAACCCCTACATGTGTCTTTTGACACAACTGCAAAGAATTCTAACCCTTTAGAATTAATTAATTAACTCGTCGAGTACCGTCATTATAGACACAATTATAGAACAATAGGTTGCGGTCACCGGTGACCGCTTGGTGTTTGACAGTTTAATAGGCAACCGTTGAATATTACAGTACTGACTAAACACAATATTATGTGAAATGTGTGTCTTCATCAGCATCGAAATGAATGCACATACAGGTTAGAATACAGTCAGATAGGTAATATCAGTATTACCTATTTTTAATGGAGTGTAAATGAAACACATATAAGCAAGAAATTATTTAAACTAAACTATTCTATCATCAATTCATCAACAGCCTATAAATGCCCACTGCTGAGCAAAGCCTCTTCTCACACGGAGAAGGTTTGAGCATTAATCACCACGCTTGCTCAATGCAGGTTGGCGATTTCAAACTTATAATTAGAAATTATAAGCCCAGGTTTCCTCACGATGTTTTCCTTCACCGTTTGTCAGTAGTGTCTAGATAATCTAATCTTAGGAAGTACATATAACTCGGAAAAAATCACATTGGTACTTGCCGTTGGTAGGTTTCGAACCCGCGTCTTCTTACATGAGAAGAGTCTTAAAACTCCGGGCCACCACAACGATACCGAAACGAAACTATTCTATAATATCCATTAACTAATACAAAACAAACTCCATTTATCATCTCATTAGGAAAGGGATTATATAAAATAATGTTCCGACGGTATATTAACAAAATAAATATCTTAAAACATCATTTATAAAGTAAGGTGATAATGATCAACAGTTTATGTTCAATATTAAAATGTCAAACACCAAGCGGTCACCGGTGACCGCAACCTATTGTTCTATAATTGTGTCTACAAAACCGGTACTCGACGAGTTAATTAGGTATCAACTAATTTTTATTATTGTTGTTTGGTATTTATTTATTTGTTTGTTTGTATGCAATGTGTTGTTTGTGTGTAAACGGAATCCTCTGAAAAAACGCGACAGATGATGATGAAAACAAATTTTAGTTTCATGAAAGTAAGGAATTAAATGTAGGTATCTTTTTGTAATAATAGTTGTAATTAACTGCTCAAGGCTGAAGTTGCAAGAATAACCCGAAAATAAAAATTATTCATCATCAACACTTCAACAGCTTATAAATGCCCACTGCTGAGCAAAGCCTCTTCTCACACGGAGAAGGTTAGAACATTAATCACTACGCTTGCTCAATGCAGGTTGGCGATATCAAACTTATAATTAGAAATTATATTTCCAGGTTTCCTCACGATGTTTTTCTTCACCGTTAGTCAGTGGTGTCTGAATAATTTTAGAAAGTAGTTACGTATAACTCGGAAACAGTCACATTGGTACATGCCGTTGATAGTTTCGAACCCGCACCCTCGTGCATGAGAAGCAGGTGTCTTCACCACGACATATTATAAAGATTATTAAAATTGTTTAATAATTTCTTTATGTCAGCGTTTTGGGAGCCTTCTGTTTACATCGGGTATGTGTGTTGCATAGTTTTAGAAAAAGACGACACGATATTTCTTATTTTGTTAAATTTTAATTTCATTTTTAAATTGACATTCTTGACTTTAATTAACTTTTGTTTCTTTGTATTAATTCAATTAAAATATGATATATTAATATTTGTACGCCAAGCAAGGCGAAACGTAGTGTAAATAAACCTGTTTTTAACTTATGAACATCCATGTAATACCACTTATGTTACAAATAAATAAATGTTTATGATAATATTTAATTGAGGTACTGACACAGGTACCACATATTCCTAAAGACGAAAAAGAAATACTTTTTGGTATTTTGTCAAGTCGGCAGGATTAATGTAAGTTGGTGTATCCTCTGTCCTGTAACGTTGGGTCTAGAAACACTTGATTTGAACATTTTAAAACTTTTCAACCATGTATAAATTGAAAACGTCAGAAAGAACTACCGTAAGGATTATCGCTATTGAATTTAATCACAAAACGCAAGTATATCTTCATATCCGAACAATAAATATACTATTTATTTAATATTAGAAAATTAAGTGTTTCTTTGTCTAACTCTAAAGTATTATCTGATAGGGCAACTATTGTCTTATCGTTTCGTAGCGACGCGTAGCCGTAGCCGTAGCGTAGCGGCGCCTACGAGAATATTAGTTAATTTCATAAAAAATACAATTAATAATTATGTATCATAATATTATGGTTAATCATTTAACAACGAAGTGATTAATAAATATGTTTATAAAAGAGAACGAGAATACCGAGTCTAGTAGAGCCAGTGCAGTTCTCCATTCAGTGGACGCTACGTTTGTGTACAAGTAGGTACTCCTAGTGTAAGATAGCAGTCTATAGATAGCTCAAGAAAACGACACACAGATAATTTAATCGGGAGTGAAACCACAACAAAGGACAGACATACGCGTACTGAAACATCAGCAAACAACTCGCGAGCATTACTTATCTCTGAAAAACATTTTCTAAGAATACGTATATCAGCGCACTGTGAGTGAATACTTGTAGAGCCTTGTACGGCGTGCGGCGTGTCTCAACGGTCGTCACAAGCACACATTCCTGCCGAAACACTTTGATAATTCCATGGTTTTATCGTTTGGAGCTGCGGTATTATTAGCGGCGGGTCGCGCACGGCGGCCGCGCACCGAGCCAGCGGGCGAGGGGCGAGGGGCGAGCGGCGGGGGAGCGTGGCGCGGGGGCCAAACCGGGCCCCGCGGGACGAGGGGTGCGCGGACCGCTGGGCGGGTTCACTAGGCTCCGCCCCGCAGCGCGCCAATCCGCGGCGCAGTGGAGGGGAGCGCGGGCCCCCGGCCTCTATTTACTCTTTCAATCAGTGCGAGTGTTTGCCCCTGGCCGGCGTGCACGCGCGGGTGATGCGCTAGCCATGATCTCGCAGAAGCTGTCGTACGGCGACGTGCCGACGTCCGCGTCGCTGTCCTCGTTGTCGCCGGGCCTCGCGCCCCCATACGTGAACGGTATGGGCTGCATGCCTGCGCAGCCTTACCCAAACCTGTACTCCAACAACATGGTGGCCGGCAGCTCGTGCATGGGCTCCCCAGGCGTGGGCTACAGCCCGCCTAGCACCATGGCGTCCTGCATGGGCGGCGGCGGAGCTGTGCCCTACGGCTCGCTACCACGCGAACAGGAAGCCGCCTCGCCCACCTCAGCACTGCAGCGAGCACGTAACGACAAGACCTACCGTCGCTCGTACACACACGCCAAGCCGCCGTACTCCTACATCTCACTCATCACGATGGCCATTCAGAATAACCCATCGCGCATGCTCACGCTCTCGGAGATCTACCAGTTCATCATGGACCTGTTCCCGTTCTACAGACAGAACCAACAGCGCTGGCAGAACTCCATACGACATTCGCTGTCGTTCAACGATTGCTTTGTGAAAGTGCCGCGAACGCCAGACAAGCCTGGCAAAGGATCGTTCTGGACGCTGCACCCAGACAGCGGAAACATGTTCGAGAATGGTTGTTTCTTACGAAGACAGAAACGATTTAAGGATGAGAAGAAAGAATCGATAAGACAAGCTCAGAAAGCTCACACTGGGCACGGGCACCACGGAGGTTCACATGAGAAGCGCGGCGACCACTCACATGAGAAGGGTGGTGTCGGAGGTGGCGCGCCGCCGGGTGGAGAGGACAAAGAGATGCGTGACGAGCTACTAGCACAGCTACACGCAGCGCCTGAACTATGTCTGCCCGAGCATACGCCGCTAGCGCTGGAACATTACGCGCAGCTAAAGCAGGAGCCCACGGGGTACGCGCCCGCCCAGCACCCGTTCAGTATCACGCGACTACTGCCTGGTGCCGACACGAAGGCTGACCTGAAGATGTACGACGTGAACTATGGGTACGGGCACTCGCCGGCAGACAACTACTACCAGTCGCCGCTGTACCACCACCACCACGCGCACGCGCAGCCGCCCTTGTGACAGTACCCGCTGGCGTAGGCGGGCCGGCGCGCACCCTCGTGGTGCCTGCCGCAGCCGCCCGCGCCCTAGCTGGCCCGCCACGCCACACCCTGGATAATCTCATCTCCTGATATTGGACTCCGAGTGAGCGTTTCGTGTTCTGGTGATATTACCGCGCCTGCAGCGCTCCCCCCGACCTGACTATTGTATATTGTGTAAATATTTGCGATTATTTTAAATGAGTCCATTTTGTGTGCGTTTTATTAGTAGGTATAGATGTTTAGTGCACGGTGGACGATGTGAGACGAGTCGGGGCGGGCGGCGGCTGCGCGAAGTTAGGCCTAAAATGTTTTGTGGAACTTCTAAGAAAGTGTCCTTTATAGTCATTACAATCGGTTGCCCCTTGTATACCAACTCTTAGTTGATGGGTTTTGTATGAAATTGATGGAATGCTAAGTGGGAGCTTTGCCCGCGTAAGTCAGCGTACTCTAGTTAGATAAAAGTGTGAGCATATCGCGATCAATACGTTATCGCTTTGTTTATCGGTTTTTGTTTAGATAAATTGTTTGCGTAGCGCGTTGATGTCTTTTGCTTAACTACATGATTTGATTGATTGAATTAGTGCATAAAATAAATGAGTTACAGAAAGAATAATTTGTAATATAATATTCAAATTGCTAATTCTTTTGTGATACCTCGAAAATCAAAGCGTAGAGTTGCAAGTGATAATAAAATATCAACTTCATTGTTAAGTCATCAAAATAAAGGAACATTATGACATCGATATTAAAAATATTGATTTACAAAAAAACAAACAAAAACAACGCTACCTTCAGACGCTCCACAAAAAAGTTGAAACAACAATCAAAAAGTAAAAAAAACAATCGCTAAGAGTCGGTATACGACGGAACGAGAAGTGACGTCATATCGTGGACGGTTCAACTGTGCAATGTCTGTGTAACAAATTGTGTATAAAATTTAAAATATATATAAAAATATTATATACAAGATGGAAGAGACAAAGTGTGTTAAAACCAAACTTTGGTTTAAAAAAGAGCTTAAAATATTTCAAAATATCTTATCGTGGTATATTGATAATTCAATGATAAAGTAGTGCTTACATAAATATAAAAATCAGCGTTGAAAATAACATATTAAATGCCGCATTACTATATTAAAAAAGTGCTCAAAGAAACATACAATTCAAATATAAATATATAAATATTTTAACTTGAAACTGTACCTCTAAAACATTTAATATATAAATTACAGTTTAATTTTAATACACTCTGTCTCTATTACGTTGTATAATTTTAGCTAGGCGAAATGGAATCTGAGTTTGTCATGAACCATCGCGTTAGGAGTGTAGATATATAAGTTTTGTATATATAATATATAAGTTTAATTGTAAAAGTTTAAATAACGGTGTTTGGTGTAACATGGGTACCTATCTCGGCTTCTGCACATTCCAGTTGAATATATATTTATATGCAAGCATCGATTTAGCATAAGACATCGAGTATTTGGCAAGCGTATGAGGTGAGTTCTATTTATATATAATATAATTTCATTTATTTACAAATTAAGTTTACATTTAAATACAATTTTCGCTTCATTTCTTTTCGATTTAAATGAAATTTTTCTCAGTTTCGCGGTTACAGGGTTGAATAATTTCCTTTTACATTTGTTTTTGACTTTTGTGTTAATATAATACCAATACAATAACACAAAATAAATTCCATTTTTAAATCTGTTTCTGATAACCACACAATTCTTTAATATTTTGCAGTAAGTAAGTACATTTAAAAACAAATATAAACATTTTTGAACGTAAATATTTATATAATCGTAAACGAAGTCGACCCAGAAACTAATCCTCACAATTAACACTTTAAAGTGACAAGGATTCAGTCAATAGAACTGAAGTATTCATAGGCTGCCAAAATTGACATAACCATGTTTGCCTTGACCATACCGATTTCGATGAACCGCCTTGGAAATAACCTTTACTTACTTACGTATAGAGGTCTTGCGCACTGTGTGGTTTATTGGTATTGGTACCTACAATCTAAATAGCCTTACTTATATTCAATGTCTTGTGTATTTACTGTACTTGGAATTTATTAATGGTTCATTTAAAGTGCACACTTAGCTTCGTTTCATTTTAAATGTAATTTGTAAATTCAGTGAAATGTAACTCGTATTTTTTGGTTGTATAACGTGATTAGATTTTCGAGTTCGTATGAATGTAATTATTGCATTTTGATTATAACATCGAGTATTTACCTAAAAGTATCTCATCGATACAACAATGAGAAAGGGAAAATACCTCTTTCTCTGAAAAAATATAACCTGTACAAATAATTGTTTTACAATTATGTATATGAAAGAAGTAGATAATAATTTTATTAACATTAAAAGGAATGGCACAGAAGTTATACACACATAATATTCTAATTTTATTTATTTCTAACAAACATACCTTATTTTTGTATAATAATAAATTAAACTACATTTATTCGAATTACATTTTATATTAATTTTGATTGCTTATTTGCTCAATTTAAGTTTTTAGTTAGGTTTATAAATATAATTAAATGTACACTTTTGGAACCTCATACGCTTACCAAAAGCTATGGTTTTTTAGCACAATTTTGATAGATGTGCTAAATTAATTCTTGTTAGTATAAATACATATTTATGTCGTACTACTCGAATCTAGATAGGATACTTATATATCATCTGTTAGTTTCAGAATTAATAAAATTAAGTATTTACAAATCTCATTTGTTTTTCTTTATTTCATTTATCGTTCAAGGTGATTTTGACTGGCGAAGTTGGCTGTCAAATAAAACACGCAACAATTTATCAAATTAAATATCTTTATTGTTGAACACAGAACATATAGTTGCGTTACAAGATGTGAATGCAATGTATCATTCGTTCGAAATACTTTATAACATCGAAATATATTACAAACATGACTAAATAAACATATAACTATTTAGTATTCATATAGGAAAACAATTTTACAAAAATAACAAAATGATATCACTATTATGACTTCAAAGTAACACAGAATTAAAATAAATTTATTCAGTTTACTAATGATTAAAAACAATAACTTAACGTTAAAGATTAATGCATCCGAATTTAAACATTCAATTGTGTTACATACAGTCTCTTATCAAGTACAAAGCACAATCTTTGTAGTTACCGAAATAACCTAGATATATAAAAAATACATAATTATTATTAACTCAACCCTTTAACTTCAAACAAAGGTGTCGCCGTGTGTTATAAAAATTTCAAAAAAACAAAAATAAGTACTTATCGTTGAACTTTTACTGTCTGTCATTTTCACTTTTGTCGGCTTGCGCAAGAGTCGCCTTGCCGTCAACGGGTTATCTTACGAACGACAAAAAGCTACAATAAAACCATAAAAATACACAAAAGGGCTCGACACGTGGATAGCTAGTGTTAATTTGTTTAAGACATCGGCAAAAATTACTTGAAATAAATATGTTTTGCTTATAAATGCGCGTGAGAAACAAAGTTATGGAGACATATGCGAAACTTTGTGGGTACAATGTCTGTAGATTGCAGGTTTATTATAGATGAAGACTATTTTATTAAGTAATATGCCCCAAAAACACAGACCATTAGTTGTTGTTAGTTGCCACGTGAAAGACAAACAAACAAACACGCTTTTGAATTTATACTTAATTTTAGCAAGGATTTTAATAGGCTTCTTGCATTTTTTCATGAGGTGTTTGTGGCATATTTTTTTTAAATTTTAATGAAGTTTTGATTAGAAAACATTATTTCATTTATTCGTTAATTGGTTAGGATAAAGTAAAATGCACATTTTATTTTCGGCTACATAATCAGTAGAAAACATTACCTAATGTCAACATCTGTTTGAATAACTTTGTACCAAAAATTCATCGAAATTGGTTCAGTAGTTTAGGACTAAAAGCCTAAATATTTCTCTCCACACTTAACATTTGCATTAACACTTTTATCAAAAACATTTTTTTCTGTTTTCATATCTCATTCATCCCACAAATCACAATTTCATACATAATTAGTAGATTCATTCATGCTGTATAACTATTTAGCGGCGAGAATCGAACATGGGACGCTGCGGGTGGTATACTGCCGTCATAAAAGTAACCACAGTTCTGCTGACCCAGTGAGTGGACAAAGAATGAATGGCTTGTGTCCATTGTAGTACGAACGAAGATTTTGATTTTTTTTTTCGAAGTGAAATAATGAAAAGTGGAAGTCGGGTTTTTTTAGTAGTACATTCTGTGATGTCAAATTGCGTCTGTGTTTTGTTTTTTTTTTATTTCTCGACACTTTTAACGCTACCGGGTTCATTGATGACCGGCGCCATTGGAGGATTTGCCTTTAATAACTTTCTGCCGGCAGTGGAAGATTAAAAGAAAACTATAAGGTTATTAATGAAATCTAATGTATGTAGGTAAAGGGTTAGAGGATTGAGTATTATGAGTGCCTACCTTTATTGTAAGATAGGGATATACATAACCTCACGCCTGTCTCCGATGGCGGCAGGCAAAGACCATGGAACGCCAATTGCTAGATAGACACTTAAAGCAACTAAATATGTTTTATATAATTTACCAACAACAATTTTATTTTCATTCTACGTTCTGAACGCTTGCGTTGTATTTCGTCGTGTGAGTAAGGTTATCTCCTACCTAATCTAGATGGTAACGAAGGGCCCTAGTCTCCCGAATCCCCCAATTCCTCCACTATCATCAAATTCCCAATTCCCAAAAGGCCGGTAACGCACTTGTAACGCCTTGGTGTTTCGGGTGTCTATGGGCGGCGTCGATTGCTTACCATCAGGTGATCCGTCTGCTCGTTTACCGGCTTATGCTAGAAAAATAAAATAGAAAAGTTACATTATGGCTTTTAACCAAGAGATTGACGTTTTTCAATTTTTTAAATAAGATTTATTAATCAAAATTGTTCTAGGAATTTGATATGTAATATAAAATCATCAATTACATATTATGTACCCACTTTAATGTGTTATGTAACGAACTATTGCTGATTGACTAATAATTTCAAGATGGCAGCGTTTCGATTTAATCTTGCGGTCAATCAGTTTGTAATCGACCTAAAATACACGTAATCTAACATTGCGCTTGAAAAGCGTGAGGTAGTGGGCAGAGGTGAAAAGTACAGATAGTATTTGCTATTATAAAATGCGACACAATAATATTTTTGTCGTTTTAATAGAAAACACAATTTTCTATTAACCATTGACATTGACCATATACCTACAATGGCTATGTTTTTATACCTATTTGGGTAAGAACCCAAATACAAATAGTAATACAGTTATATATTTATAATATTAAGTAAAAAAATTCCTAGGGTAAAAATAAAGTAAAATGAAGTGTCATCAATACAAAAATAGTCTTCAGTCAATTTCATAAAGTTCATAATGTTTTCAGTAAAAATCACTGCATTTAATTGAAATATCTACTAGTCAAAATTATTGGAAAATATTAACATTAGTAACGTATCTCATTGTTACAGACTACTATTCTATTGTTAAACATGTCCATATTCCGTAGAATTAACAAAATTTTAACAGACATAATTAAATTGCATTTTAGGACTGATATATTTAAGTCTGAACATATTCAAATATTTTCTATATTCTTATGATTACACAACCAAAATGTAATCCAGAATGGACACGCGCCCCTTAATGTGTGGGCGATATATTTTATTTATCCACCTTTTGATTTTGTCTGTCATTCCATTCATCTTGTTACGGTTCAAGCTACTGCGCTACCCACCTTCCAATGCTTTGATAACCATTCAAAAACCTTCACGAGTCATCATCCTCAAAACCAACTTAAGTTTACAACCACCAAACATAACTAATTAGAAAACACAACTTTATGTCAATAAGAACAAGCTCTATATTATTTTGAAGTATCAGTTCACCGGTAGCATTTATAACTTTGTTATTTGTCATGTTTTATAGTGAATCGCTTGAGTTCTTTTCTCGTTTTCGTTTCGTTTCGTTTTTGTTGTTTTTTTTTCAATGAAATACGTCAACGTGTGATATATGTCAACGCTTTTAGTAATGTTAAACAGTCACCATTGTCCGTCTAACTGTGTTTGTCTTACGAATTGAGTTATAACTTATTTATTGATTTATCGATTCTTGATCATGATTAAGTAATCGATTCGCTATTCAGTTTGCTTTGTTATCATTCGATTATGAGGTCTAAAAGCGAAAGTTTGGAATCGTAAACCGGTTTTGTTTTTTAATGGAAAATGTTATTGACGGCTGAGAATTTTCTTTTGTGTGGTATTGGGAATTAGCTGCAGAGAAATTGATACTGTCAAGAAAGGAATTAGGAATTATACCTAATGTACGGTCGGGTTACAAAAGTCCATAAGACCGCTAAAGATCACATTGCTATGAACTACCGCACGATGCAGACTTCTTTTTTTTTTAACGGGGGAAAATCATCGAATTACTGCTCCCGCCTGGGTGAGGCGGGAGGGAGTGTCAGACTCTTACTGACTAAAAACCACCCCGTTCCTTCTCCTGCACGTCGAGCCGGAGCCCCGGTTACCCGTTAGGTTCTCCGCGACGCACGATGTAGACTGCGTGTGTGTGCGTTGAGCGAATGATACCTCAACATTCCACAAATAACACACACCAATAAACTGTCGTCGCGCTCACTACGCTAAAGAAAATGAATATGTGCATAAAATATTCGTCCATCACGCACACATTGGTATTCAATATTACCTATCTTAGTGACGGTATACGTATTAATTTATTAAATAAGTGTAAATAAAAATGAGGGTAAAGATAAAAATAAAATGTAACAAACATTGAATAAATCGAATAATGAACGATCGAGCTACATACTACATAATCATACCCAATAAATACAATATAGTTAATATAGTATTGAATGATATCAAATATTTCACAACGCAATGCAGATGCAAGCTTTGCGTAAAGGTTATCGCATGGGATTAAAGATTACAGGTCGCAGGTTCGATCCCAGCATAGACACTGTTGTTTTTGAGTTTATTAAATATTTTTTAAACATTATTTAATACAAATATCTATTTTTTCAATACCTGAGTATAAAGTTTACATTGTTCGAGGTAACTACAAAACTCTCAATCAACAATTTTATTTGATTCGTTTACGAAGTATAGACAAAATAAAATAAACCTTATTTATACAGAGATAACATTCATAATTGTTAATCAATGCGAACCAAACTTAAGTAATATTTGATTAATAATGTTATCGCAATGCGCTTTTTTGTCCACTACTAGATATATACGGTGAAGTGGTGTTATTTTTAAGCTGTTAGAAATTGTTAAAATTTCTTTCCATTTAAGATGTTGATTCACTTCACTATTCACTTTGGTCTAATTAAATTTAGCTATATAGTTATAGGTTATGAAGGTTAAACTTTTCTGTATTAAATCATTGCATCTTTTTCAATCAATCAATCTTTTCAATTTGTATACCTACTATTGTTTACATGTTTGCTTATTTATTGGATATGAAACCACTTATTTGTAAATAGATAATAATACTGTTTTATTTACAAACTTGTTTACTTCTTCTTGTAGTCTGATTTTATTTTACAGAAAATAAAGGACATACATAATCGGGATAGGTGTGAGTTCGAATCTAAGGTTGGGCTTTATATAATATAAATAGTATAAGCATCAGTATATAAAGTGTAAGAAAGA